CCGAGAGGGCGGGGCAGAGAAGCCTGAGCCATTGCCGGGACTGGGAGATCAGTTGAGGAGGTGCAAGAAGCTAGCACGCTGGGCTGACTGAGCTGGGGAGGCAGGGAAAGGGACCAGCAGCCCCTGTGCTGCCGCCTTGACAAACTGGGATGAACTGGGACGAATCGGGATGAACCGGTTCATGCCCATCTTGACACACTCAGCATTTCTTCTTCCACACACACTTCCTCCTCCTTGTGGTGCTCACACCTAGCATTTCTGCCCCCCCCAGCCTTCCTCCTCACTGGACCCCCACGTGACTGCTGTGTGCTGCTATCTTGCAGTGCATGCCATGTGGGAGGACTGGTCCCCTTGGAGTCTGTGTTCGAAGACTTGCGGGCACGGGTCCCGGATCAGAGTCCGGAAGTGCTTTGCTCCACAGCACGGCGGGAAGGCCTGCGAGGGGCCGGAGGTGCAGAGTAAGGCCTGCAATATCGCTCTCTGCCCTGGTTAGTAACCACCTCCTTGACTCTCACCTGTCACCATCCTTCTCCTGTCCTGTTCCTCCCCTGGTCCCGTTTCCCTTGCTCTTTCAAGGATAATTGTTTTGGCTCCTCTCTATATTAATAAGCTAATGTACAGTTATTTTTGGACTGGATTAGGAATGTAAATCTCCACTAATTTCCTTTTCTCAGGTGAGGAGGAGAAAAGAGAAAAGCTTTCTCCTTGCTGGGTGAGATCAGGAGAGATTTGATGCAGTTTCTCTTCTTTTAACAAAGAAAAGAAAAGAAAGAATAGAAGCAGATTTTGCAGGAAAAAAAATACTTGTTTTTCATGTAAAAAATGCATTTTCCGTGCAAAATATATTATTGGCAGGAGACCAAAAACTACAGATTGCATCAGTTCTAGCCAACATATCAAATGGTGAAAGATGGTAGGTCTAAACGTTTCCCACCATGAGACAGTTTTAAGATGCAGATGTTTAAAAAAAAGCTAAAGTAATCACAGAATCTAACAACAGAAGCATAGAAGCAAGGACATGAGATATTCTAGTTCTCTATTCTGTGTCGGCCAGTCCCAACCGAGAGCATGGTGTCCACATTTCAGGCACATGGGCACCACATTTCGGCAAGGACATTGATAAACTAGAGGCATATAGAGAGAAGAATAGCCAAGGTGGTTGAACTACTAGAAGCCCGGCTTTACAAGCAATAGTTGAGAGAGACCCGTGTACAGTATATTTAACCAGGAGAAGAGAAGGTTAGGAAGAGACATGATCATGGAATCTGAATATCTGAAAGATTGTTGTACTGTAGGTTGATCAGTCTGGCACACTGGTTGCTTTGAAGACAAGGGCCAGCACCAGTGGGTGGACATTGCAGGGAAACAGATTTAGGTCAAACCTTGCAAGGCACATCCTTTTACAGAGAGAAATTAATCAGTGGAACAGACTGCCACAGGAGGTGGTGGTCTGGCTTTGCTAAAGGTATTTGAGCCAAACATGAATGACCATCTGTTCAGGAAGCTGCACTCGCAGTTCCTGTGTCGAGCAATATGGGACTGGATGAGGTCTTTCAGCTCCGTGTTTCCATGATATATCGTTGTCAGCTTCCTCGAAGGGGGTCTAGACAGCTTTATCAGAGCTGTACAGAGGCAGACAGCTGCCTGTTTCTGGTTTACATGGAACACTTCTTTACTGACTCCTGTAAATCTCTTCCCAGAACATCAGGGAGTGCTTCCTGGCTTTTTGTTTCCCTGCACTGCTTCTGTTCTTTGGGAACACTGTGCTTTTCAGAGGAAGATTATTGGCTGGGTTAGCATAACATGCAGGCCCTCTGGTCATATGTGGCCTGCCAGCCATTTGTGGTGGGCTGCCAGGCACCTCGGGCCACAAAAGCGGCAAGCAGGAGGCTTGGTCTGGCGGGAAACGAAGCCTTCATCATTGGATTGGGTCCTGCAATAAGAGCCCTTCTCATCTCCTGGCTTGGTACCTGCTTTGTTTGGTCTGTGCAGAGTGAGGTCCTGGCAGCAGAGAAGAACCTGCTGGCTGGTTGAGTGGAGGCAGAAGGAAGTCTGAAGTCCCCAAACAGAGGGAATGATCTGGGTGAGAGCTGGCCTGGTAGGTAAAAAGAAAAAAAAGGTGAGCTGAGATAGGTGGACAAAGAAACTGTCTGCAGAGGGCTCTCCTTTCTTGGCAAGCACAGAGACCCAGCCAATATCCAGATCAGAGGGAGGAGCGGCACTGTGCAATTCCCAACACAGAGGTGACCCTGATCACGTTCTGCTTTTCTTCTGCATATGGCATCTGAGGGAGCCACAGGAGGCTGGCAATGCCAATGGCTTTTGATCTGAATGATGCTGGAACTATCCAAGGTGCTGAACACGGTCCTCCAGATAGCATCGCCTTGGGTAGCTCCTTTAATGTTTGGGTTAAAATCCAGGGTGTGTTCATCGCTTCCTTGCCATCAGAGTCACTAGTGGGCTTTAAACTAGATGCTGCTGTCCAAGGTGCTGAAATAGGTTCTCCTTGGGTAGCACCTTCAACATTTGGGCTACAATCCAGAGCATATTCATCACCCTCATGACATTGGTGTCACCAGCAATGACTGGCTGGATCTTTAATGCTAGATGAACCAAGACACAATTATTTCCCTGGGAAAAAGTCCATGGCGATTCATTGACTACTAGACGGCCACCATATCACCTTGCAGGGAAGCATCCTAGATTGACCAACAGTGTTTCCTTCTGCTGAGACCAAACCCACAGACCCTTGTTTCTCAAACTATAAACCTCTGCCCCCACTTGATAACCCACAGATACATCTGATCATCCTTCAAGTCTGCCTCCTTTGAAATGTTTGAAATATTTGCAACTAGAAATGAATCAAAGTGTTTGTAAACATAGACAGTGTGTGTCGGGAAAGGTTGAGTGCTTGGTGAGTGGCAGGTTTGGTGGGGAAAACTTTTAAGAGCGGTGCATAGTGGCCCCATCTTCACAAAAGTTCATGCAACATAACAGCAACCACTTCACCGAATTGTGCCACGTTGTTATTTGTATTAATTCTTTTCCTTCTCTTCTTGAGAGTGCTATTAAATGCCTCATCCTCTCATGGGGAGTGGAGAATAATTTTGCTATTCTTTCTCCTTGAGTGTAAGGCCAAGACGGGAAGATTTACATCCTTACTACACTCTGCTCCTGTCCCCCACTCACTTACTCTGCTTTTCTCTAATATCCCTGGCCTGAAAGAGAGAATTAGGGAGTCTGTGGAGGTGACAGGAGGCATTGGAGACAGATGAAAGAAATAACACAAGCAAAGGAGGCACAACACAAGGCTACTCATGACAACAAAGTCATGTGAATGCCTTTCTCCTCCTGACATTTGGAAGCAAACATGAGTGATATAGAGATGAGCATGAACTGCCAGTTTGGCAGTTCCTGATGGTTCATCTTTTGGACAAATGGGTGTTCGGCAGTTCCCAGCCCTGCCTCCTCTGGCAACTGCCCACTCAGAGAGAGTGCCCAGAGGGACAAGGAAGTTGGGGCACTGTCTTTGAGTGGGTAGCTGCTGGAGGAGGCAGGGCCAGGAAACCCTTCCAAAAGACAAATCAGATGAGCTGCCAAACTGCTGCTTCATGCCCATCTCTAGCTATAGATCCTTAGGCTCCCCTTGCCTTTGGTCCATATTAGGCTTACCACTTAATGTAATGCTAGCTTTGTGGGCGCTGTGGAGAGATTATGTTCAGAGCTTGAAAATGCCATTTTTGGACTACAAATCCCCAAACCACAAGCCAACAGATTGGAGAACTCTGGGAGTTGTAGTCCAAGAAGAACGACATTCCCAGCTCTGGATGGGCTGTCAGAGAAAGGGGTTCAGCTTCTGTCCCTGAAACCAGTCTGTTGGGACACTAGTGCATGATTTATGGGAATTGGAAAAGTTACCTTTTTTATGTCTAGGTCTCAGAACCTAGCAGCCAACACATTGGCAGTGGAATTCTAAATGTTATAGTCCAATTCCACCCTTGACTGCTCCATATGCCGCTTGTGAAGTATTGCATTGTCAAGGGATCCCCATGCTCTACTATAATTTTCCCTGGATAATAACCATTTGCAACCACTGTTGGGGTGGAAAGCATGCCTTAGTTGCATCCGACTATTAATTACTTGGAGGAAATGTACCAAAAGGGGAAGAGGGTGTTTCAGTAGGAGCTGCACCCTTATGAAGCTAGGACGAATTCCTGTCCTGGAGTCAAAACAAGCCCCATCATTTCCCTAGACTCATTCTGGCCTTCCCACTTAACCTTCCTTCTTTCTGTTTCTCCCCTTCCTGCTGTCCGTGACGTGGCTCGTTCGTAGGACCCATCTCTGTGCTATTGATGTGCTGTGTCTTAGGGACATGTACCTCTGTTCCAGGGTGAAGCTCTTGGGTGATGGCTCTGCTGGAAGAGAGTCAAAGAGGGGTGGGTTTGGAAGACGGTACTTTGGAGTCATTGAGTGTGATGAGAACAAGCAGAGTTTCTCTACTACACAGTTGTGCGAGTTTGATACCACTTTAATGGTCAGGGTTCCATGTTCAGAAACTCTCCATCCTGTAGAAACCTGGGTTTAGCAGCTTGGAATTATCTGCTCATTCAAGGGAGGGTGTTAGAGCTCTTACAAAGACCTGACAAAGCCCTAAATCCACGAATCCCATAGAACAATGGAATGGGAAGGGGTCTGTAAGGCCATCAAGTTGAACCCCCTGCTCCATGCTGGAATCCAAATGAAAGTTGATCTGACCGATGGTAGTCTTGATGCCCTCCACTGTTCATCCCCACCCGAGGTCATCGGGTGGAGCCTTGGCATTTCATTGGTATCAGTCTGCTCCAACTGTGCTGGCGTAGTTCTGCTCAAGTAAGGGTTGAGCTGACAGGGGGAGGGGCGTTGGGCATGCCAAGTCATGTTCACAGGCTTCCCTTGTGTCTCCCCACCCTTTGAGTGCACTGTACGCTGATGGGGCATTTTGCTGTGCTTCTCCGTGACAGTGGAAGGCCAGTGGCTGGAGTGGGGAGCCTGGAGTCGCTGCTCCGTGTCCTGTTCCAATGGCACTCAGCAGCGCACCCGCAAGTGCAGCGTCTCGGCGCACGGCTGGGGGGAGTGTCGAGGGGCTCACGCCGATGCCAGGGAGTGCTACAATCCAGAATGTCCAGGTAAGGAGCACAGAGGTTTCCGTTGGCAGGGACCACAAAAAACATGCCAAGTCATGTTCACAGGCTCTGTCGCTCCATCTTGGTGAGAACTGTTGGAAGGATGGTGGACTGTGTGGCCACGTGCCGGGCACACAGCTGTTTTTCTTCCGAGAACAAAACTGAGACGAGACGAAACTCGGTCGTTATGAAAAAGCCTTTCCACCCGGCCATTTCCCTCGAGTTGCTGGGGGAAGCTCTCTGACCTTCCGCTCCGCACGTGAAACCATGCCAGGGACCCTTGCTTGCTCCCTCCCCGCCCGGACCCCTCGCCTGTCATGTACGAGCAGAGCGCGGAGCCTGGACGGGAGAGCTGGGCCTCGCCAATCTGTCTGGAGTGACAGCTGCTCTCCATAAAGCCATGGCTCCTAATGCGGCAGGCTTGGAGATGCCAGTCATCCAGCATCGGTGACAGATGGCTTTCGGCAGCAGCGGCGGCTCGCGTGCTCCCTCCCTCCCCGTAGCCTCAATTTTCATTTTCCAGTTTTATCAAAGAACCACAGCTGGGGCTAGAGGCCTGAGATGGAGCAGGGGGAGAATGCTGGAGGGTTCTAGCCCTGGCTGCAGGAAATGCGGAGGGGCTCTGAGGCTGAGGATTTGGCAGGCAAAGTGTTGCCCCTCCCGAAAGTCCAAGAAAAGACCCTGAATCTCTGAAACCCCACCCCTATTCCAGTTAACTTCCTTTTTTTTCAAAAGCAGCTTTACTGGGGCCACTAGTTTTGGGTGGCATAGAAAAATGGTCTCCCCAGTTCGTGGGTCATTTTTGAACTTGCTTATCACAAACATAGACAAGCCCTTCCAGATGACTGCTTTAACAATAGATGTCATAGTGTTCTGGACCCTTTGGAAGCATTTTTTCTTACTCTGAGCCGTAGCTTTCAATTTGCCGTGCATTGAGTGTTTGGCTTGTCATGCAGTGCTACAAAGAAGCAGGACTTGAACTCGGATCTCCCAAGTTTAATTGTCTCTTGAAGGCCTCGAGCACTGGAGCTCTCATCACCTCCTGAGGTCATGGGTTCCACTGTCATACTTAAGGGGAGGATTTCTATGACATGTCATGTTTTTTCCTGCAGCTCATGTTTGAACTTATAAGTGGGGAGAAAAGCCAGATTACTCATAAACATTTTAAAACTTACTTGTGGGTTCAAGTATAGGTTGCAGAGAAAGTGTGACATGTCATAGAAATCCTCCCCTAGGTACAACTCTAACAGTTAAGATGTTTGTCTGATATTCAGCCTAACTCTGTCTTCCTTTAACTTGAGCCCATTATAACGTGTCCTGCAATCTGGAATGATGGGGAACAGATCCTGCCCTTCCTGTGTAGGACTACCTTTCAAGTATTTGAAAAATGCCATTCTATCTCCTCTCAGTCTTATCTTCTCAAGGCTCCTTATGTTCCTCCTTGGTTTCCAGTCCCCCGATCCTCCTGGTTGCCCTCCTCTGAACTCGTTCCAGTTTGTTGGCATCCGTCTTCAAGTGCGATGTCCCGAACTGGACCCAGGACTCAAGAGGAGGATTGTTTCTTGGCTGTTTTCTGTTACTGTGTCTCATAACCCATGGAAATTAAAGCCAACGGCTCGAGCCGATTTAGATCCGCAAAATGCAGAGCCTTGGAATAACTCACCTCCTGAGGGATGGAGATGAATCCCATTTGTAAAGGGCACCCTTTACGGTCATGGCCTGGTTTGGAAGGCAAGAGAGTAGCAGTTTTGCTTAAATGAGATCTGAATTATTGATAAATGGGTTTAATCATCTGTGGAATATTTGATTAAAGTAATTATCAGCCGACACAGTTGCACCCCAGTGATAAAAAAAAAAGAGAACATTCTTCCATCTCCCTGCCATTCTCTCTCTCTGCCCTCCCGGCTAGTATGACGCTAAATTGGGAACAAGCCTGTGTGTTTGTACGGCAGGAAAGGAGCGACAGCTGCTTTGTAAAGGTCTCATCCTTCTTCTCCGTTTCTGCTTCCCCGAATTGTAGCCGACAGCAAGTGGGGCCCCTGGAACCACTGGAGTTTGTGTTCTAAGACGTGTGACACGGGCTGGCAGCGGCGCTTCCGGATGTGCCAGGGGACGGGCGTGCAAGGCTACCCCTGCGAAGGCAGTGGGGAGGAAGTCAAGACATGCAATGAGAAGAAATGCCCAGGTACTTCCCTTGTCCTTCTGCATTGGTGAGATAGGTGAGCACGGAGCTGCCCCAGAAAACTCAATGTATTCCTCTCCCTTCCTCTAGCCCAGCCCTTCCCAACGTTGGGTTCCCAGGTGTTCTTGGACTGCAACTCCCAGAAGCCTTCACCACGTGCTGTGCTGGCCAAGGTTTCTGGTTGTTGCAGTCCAAGAACATCTGGGGACCCAAGGTTGAGAACTACTGGCTTGAACTCATTGGCCAAAGCACAATCTTCTAAACTCAACTTGAGTTTCACTGTAGAACAGTGGCTCCCAACCTTGGGTCCCCAGATGTTCTTGAACTAAAACTCCCAGAAGCGTCAGCACTAGATGTGCTGGGCCAGGATTTCTGGGAGTTGCAGTCCAAGAACATCTGGGTTACCCAAGGTTGGGAAGCACTGTTCTAAAAAAAAGAAAATGTGCAATGGAAACCAGGGACCCACACTGAACAGACGTCACTTTGTGTAGAACAAGAATAGACAGTTTCCCCAGTCTTTCCTCAATGGCTTTCTTTGTGATCCTCTTCTTTATGTGTTGATTGGTTATATATTTCCATCCCACTTTTTTCTGTTTCATGTTGCTTAGATTTCAACGTTCCTCCATAGAAATCCAATTAATTTATAGCTAGCAGTAGGTAACTGATGAAATGATCAGCTCCATCTCCCAAGGAGATGCAAGGCATATCCCAGCACTGTACCAGTTAGCAGCAGTTGTCCACGGGAGATAGAGCACAAAGACCAGTGGTTTTCCACAGTATGTGTCTATGAACCTTGCATCAAGGACTCAGAGGTTGAATCAGAGACCTCATGATGTGGGTGAAGACAAAACCCTAGCTGCCTCCTATGGACTGTGTGAGCCAGATGTGGAGATAGAGAGAGACATGGGGATGTGGACATGGGGACACATGTGAGTCACACCCTAAAGGCTTTCGCCATCCTGATGCCAGTCAGACCTTTCCATATTTTGTGTGGTTGAACGTGCTAATAAAGACTCCTTGAATAGGAGGTTTGCCTTATCAGAGCACCACACCATGGAAGCAGTGTAAGCGTATTCAGCTGAACACACTTACAAGCACCTTTCCTGAACTTCATGCTGAATATAGAAAAGTCTGATGGACCTCCTTGTTTGAATGCCGGACGTCCAGGCATCCTCATGCAATAAGGCCTGAATGGGTAGGATGGGATTTAAGCTATGATGAAGATGCCACGCATGGCCTACATTCAGAGAAAGAGGTCAAGTCAGGGTTGATCAGGGCTAGAGAATTGCACGCACATACTCTGTCCTCCCTTTCATAAAATAATAAACAGTCGCATCAGAAGACTCAAAGGATCATTGCGTCTGGCCATTGCTGAGGCAGGAGACTGGTAGCCTGAGCATGCTTGGCAGAGGGGCATCCAACCTCTGCTTCAATGTGGACGCCACGCCCTTGCGAGGGACGCGTCCCCTCCCCAACAGCTCTTGCCTTCAGAAAGTTCTTCCCGAAGTTTAGTCAGAATCTTCTTTCCTGTAATTTGAATCCGTGGGTTCAGATCCTCCCCTGTGGAGCTGCCGAAGGCATGTTCACACCATCTTCTGAGTGACAGCCCCTTCAGGCACTGCAAGAGGCCTGTCATATCGCCCCATCGCCCCTGCCTGTTATGTATCTGCTCGTCCACGAATTCTCACGCCACCCCAGCCTTTGCCTCTGCTCACGGCCGGACCCCTCAGCTCCTGCCCTCTTCTCTTCCGCCAGCTTACCACGAGATGTGCAAGGACGAGTACGCCATGCTGATGATGTGGAAGAAAGCGGCCGCCGGCGAGATTGTATACAACAAATGCCCGTCCAACGCCACAGGTAGGCGGCTGCGCAGTTAGGGACCTGTGTTTTGCCGGCTGTAGACTCGAGCCGTGACAGCCATTCCGAAGGAACAGGAAGGTGGTGGAGGGAGGAAAGAGTCCTCTGGACAGATGGCACAGCAAAAGCCGGGCTCCCCCGGGAATCGCCCTGCCAGCCTGAGTTTCACAAGAGCCTACACTTTTGTCTGCACCATCCAGTTAGGTTCTGGTTGAGTGCACACAGTCCTGTTCCTGTTTGCACAGCATGGCTGTTTGAAAAGCAGGACTTTTAACCAGAGTTGTGGGGCAGACAGAGTCCCCGACGGGGTGCCACAGAAGACACGAGTCATTTCTCTACTGCCTCTTGCTTGAGAGGGCTTCCAATGACGCCCCCCCCCCAAAGGAAACTCTCTGTAGCCACATCTTGAGACCTAACCAGGGTGGAGGTGGGGCCCGTGGACCTCTTGCCTTGTGAATGCTACTTGCTTGTTTGCCTTCTCTCCTAGGTTCGGCCAGCCGCCGGTGTCTGCTCAACTCCCATGGTGTGGCTTACTGGGGCACACCCAGCTTCGCACGCTGCATTTCCCATGAATACAGATACTTACATCTCTCAGTAGGTGCAGGCTCTGGCCGGCAAACGGGCTGTGTCATTCCCCTCCATTTCTGTGTCTGTACGGATCTTTTTCCATGTCATCGGTAAAAGAGGGGTTGGCTTGGGGAAGAAGGTGCGGTTGGGCAGTGTGTTCGAGACACGGGCAGCTAACGCATTGACGAACATGCTGTGCATTTCATGCCTCTGGTGCTAAGTGCTGCATATGCATTTTAACATCTTTTGATTGTTGAAAAATATTTCCGTTGTAGTTTAGTGCAATTGTAAGAATAGATTTTTGCCCCCCTGGAAATCCACTATTTAAAAATATGATAATAAATATTAATGAATACTTAAGTCCACATGCACATGTGGATGCGCTCTCTCTCTCTCTCTCTCTCTCTCTCTCTCACACACACACACACACACACACACACAAAGTTTCCAAGGCAGCTCAGGATTATATATAAAGCACAGTACTGTATAACATGCAACAATTCTACAATCACAGTTGCCTAATAAGCAGAAGATAATCAGCAAAACCAGCAGCTAAGCAGAACAAAGAGTTACATGTCCTTCCAAAGTCTGTATAAATAAAGGTGTTTTTTTTTAAAAAAATCACTCTCAAATGACAACAGTAAGGTAGACAATATCTACTGGAGGAAGCTTCACAGCTAGGATGCCATCACCAAGAGGGCTCTTCCACATGTGATTCCTTGAGAGGCCACACACACTCATTAAAGGCCACATGAGCAGACCCTCACTCATAATAATTATGGGCCAGATCCATGTTCAGTCTGACTGCCCCCCCCAAAGTCATGTTTCTAACCTCTGGTCTGCCCTGTGGACCTCTCCCATTGATAGCCCCATGTTCGACCATCCTTGTGTCATTCCTGGGGATACACAATGTGATCTCCTCCTGAGAAGACAGGGCTGGTGGTGGTGGTTGGGGAGCAGCTTTGCTTAGAACATCTCAAATCTCTTGGTTAGAACTGCAGTGCGCACTCCGGAGAACATGGCCATCCCAACACCATGAGTTTAAGAGGTTTCAAATACATTTACCTTTGCCAGCCACCAGCCTCGATCTTCTTCTTGAGCCAGTTGGCTGGTTGGTCTACCAAAGACTATAGCCAGCCGTCCTCCTCAGTCCCAGGTGGAAAAGAGTCTTTGCCAACACATCTCCTTGAGGTCCTGCCTAGTTGGAGGCACCAGAGGTTAGATCTGGTCTACCAGGCAGGTCTTTCACTCCTCTGCTCCAGAATTCAGAGGGCCTCTTGGTGAAGCGTGTTCCTGCCAAATCTCCCAGTTAACCTAAAGGGTGCATCTTCTGCCTGTAGACCCATTCCCTCCCTCTCCCTCTCTCTTTCTCTCTCGTTCTCCATTCCAGCTCCGAGAGCATCTGGCCAAGGGGCAGCGCATGCTGGCAGGCGAGGGGATGTCTCAGGTGGTCCGTGCCCTCCTGGAGCTTGTAGCCCGCAAGACGTACTATAGTGGGGATTTGCTTTTCTCAGTGGAGATCCTGCGCAACGTCACTGACACCTACAAGAGAGCCACCTACATTCCTTCCTCTGATGATGTGCAGGTACCATGCCAACCACCTGAAGGAGGAAAAGAACATCTCTGGGTTCTTCTTTTAGCAGAAGAAGTGTCTTGGGCATTATGATGAGGCTAAGTCTTAATTTGTAGGGGACGTGGGTGGCGCTGCAGGTTAAAACACAGAAGCCTCTGTGCTGCAAGGTTAGAAGACCAAGCAGTCATAAGATCGAATCCACGCGACGGAGGGAGCTCCCGTCGCTTGTCCCAGCTCCCGCCAATCTAGCAGTTCGAAAGCATGCAAATGCAAGTAGATAAATAGGTACCACCTCAGTGGGAAGGTAACGGTGTTCCATGTCTAGTTGCACCACCCTCGTGACCATGGAAACAGTCTTCGGACAAACGCTGACTCTATGGCTTAGAAACGGGGATGAGCACCGTGCCCTAGAGTCAGAAACGATTGGACTAAATGTCAAGGGGAACCTTTACCTTTGCTAAGTCTTAACTTGGGGCTAACAGTCTCCTAGATCAACTGCCTTATTACTTCATTTCATACTTCCATCCTATTACTCTATCAAAATATCTGCCCCCCCCCCAATTATAGAACAAAAAGTTGCTTCTTCTGCCCCGGAACTGTGTATGTTTACCGATGTTCGGTTGCTAATTTTTTTGATTTACAGAGGGTCCTCAGGACATTTAAATTGCACTGCTAGGGCTGAGAAACAAAAGGAAATTGTCACTCAATTAGCAGTCAGAAATTCTAATAATAATAATAATAATAATACTGTGAAGCATAAATTTTGCTGCTCCAGTGTCTGTGAAGCACAAGTGTGATGAAACGGTAGCTGTGTTGCTGGGGATGCGTTTGGTTATGCCTGAAACGCAAGCAAAGAAAAATAATGATTCCCTGATTCCATGTGATGAAGACCCGACATCCCGCATGGATTATTCCTTTATAGCATGAGTGGAAGGCATATCTGTGATTGAGAACCACTGTTCAAAAAAATATATATATTGGATTTCTTTGTCAAAAACTGACAAATCCCATGGGCTACATAAATAATGCAAACATGAGCAACCTTATGTAGATCTGCTTTCGGTTTCCTTTTTTTCCCCCCTCAAATATTTCTCTTCCATATGCGGGGAGATGCAAAGGCACACAAGACTTTTGGGCAATGCAGCCTGATCATTACCAGACCTGTTCAGGGGCTCTGGGAGCCTTGAGGCATTGCATTGCCTGTAGAATTTGAAATACATCTCTGCAAAATAAGGACTGGAATCATGCATCGAAAAGAAAAAACAGACTGCTTGTTCCCTTTGGGCTCCTCTCTATATACACTGGATTTTGAGTCCACATGCTCACAAAATGCGCCAGCTAAAAACAACAACAACACATGACCATCATTATGGAAATTCCTACTCCGATGGTGAAATATAAAATCCTGGAATAACTGATTTGGAAGGGGGACTCTAAGGCCATTGAGTCCAACCCCCTGCTCAAGGCAGGAATCCAGATCAAACCAAATTAGGCAGATGGTTGCCCAATTTTCTCTTGTATTCACTCACCACCTTCCAAGGTTGTTGGTCCCATTGTTGTACTGCTCTAACAGTTAAGAAGTTTTTTTCCTGATATTCAGAAGAAATCTGGCTTCCTATAGCATGAGCCTATTAGTACATGCCCTACACTCTGGAATAATCAAGAACAGATCCTGCCCCTCCTCTGTATGGCTATCTTTCAAGTACTGGTAAATGCCCTGCACTCTGTAATAATCAAGAACAGATCCTGCCCCTCCTCTGTATGGCTATCTTTCAAGTACTGGAAAAGTGCCATCCTGTCTCCCCTCTTCTTTTCTCAAGGCCAAGCATGCCCAGTTCTTCCAGTCTTTCCTCACAGGGCTTAGTTTCCAGCCCCCAGATCATCCTTGTTGCCCTCCTCTGAACTTGCTCCACTTTGTTGGCATCCGTCTTAAAGTGTGATGTCCAGAACTGGATACAGTACTCTAGGTGAGGCCAAATTAGTGCTGAATAGAGGGGGACTCTATCCAAAGGCAGTTGAGAAGAAGACAAAGCAAAACGTTTGGATACCTAGCAAAATTTCTCTGGAGGATTCTGAATTTTTAAACCAGATCAAAAATGTGCCGGTACATCAAGGTCATTAACAACTTTGAGCCCCCACCAAACTCCCGTATCTCAGTCTCTTCTCTTTGCTCTACAGCGGTTCTTCCATGTGGTCAGCAACATGGTGGATGCAGAGAACAGAGACAAGTGGGAGGATGCTCAACAGGTGAGTGTGTGCTGGGCTGGTGGCAAAGGGGGGTAGGAATCCTGACCTTTTATTAACTCATGTTTGCTTTATCGGTGCCACACAGGTCTTGCCTGGCTCTGTCCTCCTCATGAAGGTGGTGGAAGATTTCATCCATCTGGTGGGTGACGCACTCAAAGCCTTCCAGAGCTCCCTCATTGTCACAGACAACTTGGGTGAGTGGTTGGCAAATGGGACCGGGAGGGACTGGGGAAGAGGAATCCTGACCTTTTATTAACTCATGTTTGCTTTATCGGTGCCACACAGGTCTTGCCTGGCTCTGTCCTCCTCATGAAGGTGGTGGAAGATTTCATCCATCTGGTGGGTGACGCACTCAAAGCCTTCCAGAGCTCCCTCATTGTCACAGACAACTTGGGTGAGTGGTTGGCAAATGGGACCGGGAGGGACTGGGGAAGGGGCACCAGGTAGATCAGATCACGATCACACTCCAGGCCAGGAAGGCATATATTGTGCTCAACTGGTAGGTCTTGAGCTAGGACATGGAAGGCAGTAGCTCCTGGCTTAGTTGTTGGGCCAAAGGCAGAAGGTAAGGGTCCTAGTGTGGGCTTCAGGCCACTTTCCAAACCAGAGATTCCGTGCCAGTACCAATCTATGCCTTGACGTGACGTTCCTCTACATTTGTCCACATCTAGAGTTGTGTAAGGACTGATCAATATGTGCTGTACACCAGGAATGTTAGCAAGTCTTCAGATTTGAGCTCCAAGTTTTTGAGTCTTTTGTGCCAGGTCGAGATTCCCAAGCCCCATGTCCAAGTCCCTCTTAAAAACAAGGAAGGTAATGGCTTCCTAGTTGAGTCTGAGTCATTGAAAAAGCAAAACACAACCTGAGTCAAGTCCGAGTCAAGCCACTGGTGGTAATGAAGTCTGACTGGACAGCGCGTCCTGCAACTTGAGTCCCCCCCCTGCTGTACCTTAGACTGTGCTCCTCGTTCTTCCCCACCATAGGCAGTGGGTCACACGATTTGCACTCTTGCCTTGGAGGTCTGAGATGTCGAGAGAGAGAGAGAGAGAGAGAAAGAGAGAGTCAGTAATGTCCTTTGTTCCTTTGTGCATTTCTTGTACCGACCTCTTCTCCTTCCTCCTTTTCCTGCCCTTCCGCCTTTGGCAGTGATCAGCATCCAGAGAGAACCGGTCTCAGCCGTCTCCAGCGACATCAACTTCCCCATGAAAGGCCGGCGAGGAATGAAGGATTGGGCCCGACACTCCGAGGATAAGATCTTCATTCCAAAGGAAGTGCTCACTCTCTCCTCTTCCGGTAGGCGATCTGTGTGTGCTGGTCTGGCCACTACCAGGTGCGGTTGGAGGAAAGGCATTACATGAGTAGATGCACACGTTCTCCTTCCTCTGTGCCCGTATTTGAAGTATGTGAAAGAGATGCTATGGGAGGTATTTCCCCCCACCGTAGGAATCCTTGGTGCTTCTTAAAGGCTCATGATGATGCCTGATTCACAACACTCAATCAGAGATGTAGTGCATGCGGTATCTGAAGGATTCACCAGGAATAGCCCCCACCCCGGACCTTTACACCTAAGACATATGGGTTAGAGGAAGTCCACAGTATAAGCAAAGATGTATCTCACCCACACGTTAGTGGTACTTTTGGGGGTAACAGAAGAGTTGGCATGGAACACCAAGTTGACCAAATGATGATCATGTCAGTGCAGTGGAGACTTAATCTGGAAGAGGGACCATTTTAAAGGACACTAATTCAAGCTCAAGGCACAAATAGGGTAAGGTCTGGTCTATCATCCTCTCCAAACATGGTCTTAATATTATTTTCTCCTCTTCCCCTTCCCCCCGCCCACTTGGAAGAAGCAGAGGAATCGTCTTATTTTGTCATTGGCACCATCTTGTATCGCACTTTGGGCCTAATCCTGCCTCCTCCCAGGTAAGCTGGGGTGGGAAGTGAGCTGTGAGAGATGTTTTTGAGATAGCATCCTCTAATGCCTCTAATGCACATGAGCGGGCGAGAATCAATGTGTGCTTGCATATTAAACTCACATTGAGCATTGTAAGCAGGTTGCTGAGCATATACTGTATATAAAGCAGGGCAGGGGGAAATCAATTGCTGCTGTATTCAGTTCTTTTAAGTCTCATGGTCGAATTTCAGTCAACAAGAGCGTTTTCCCCCTCTCGGTAGGCTATCTAATTGATTGTGTGATTGATTTTGAAACCAGTGCATAGTTACATGTAGAAGGGTCTGGAAACCAGTTGTGCAATGGTGTTCATCGAATCATTGAATTGGAAGGGGCCTATAAAGCCATTGATTCCAACCCCCTGCTCAAGGCAAGGATCCAAATCCAAGCATATCTGACATATGATTCTTCAATTTTCTGTTGAAGGCGCTCACCACCTTCTGAGGTCATGAATTCTATTGTCATACTTCTCTAACAATTAAGACTTTTTCCTGATATTCAGCCAAAATCTGACTTCCTGTTTCTTGAGCCAGTTCTTACATGCTGTGTGTTGTGGGATGATTGAGAACAGATCCTGCCCCATCTCCGGATGACTACCCTTCAAGTATCTCTCCCCAGTCTTCTTTTCTCAAGGCTAAACATGCCCAGTTCTTTTAGTCTTTCCACACAGGGCTTGGTTTCCAGTCCCCTGATCATCCTCGATGCCCAGTTTGTCTCCATTCTTCTTCAAGTGTGGTGTCCAGAACTGGACTGAACAGGACTCTGGCCCCTATTCCTTCCAGCTCAAATAAATGATTTGCACCACTTCAGTTCTCTTCTCGATCAGAATGTGCCAACCCGTTTTCTCCTTCCACCTACAGAAGTCCCCTGGCTGTCATGTCCAAAGTTCTCACAGTGACCGTGAAGCCACCCACCAGATCCGTGGAACCTTTGATTTCGGTGGAGCTGTCACATATCATCAACGTAAGCATGCCTGAGACCTAATGGGGAACTTTAGCATGGCGGGAAGAGGCAGGTCTGAAGGTTTCCTAGAAAATCTCTTCCTAGCTGCAGATCCTTTGGGCTCTCTCCTCTCTCCACCCTTCAGACCTGTTGATATCTCTCATTTGCTATGAAATGGCAGGTTGAGACTAGAGGAGAAGCTAGCAAGGTAGAGCCAGAGCATGATTTGAGGAGCACCTACAATAACAGAAGACAGCTACAATATCATTTACAGCTGTGATATATATCCCTCCTCACAAATGAATCTGTAAAAATCAATCCCAGCTTTTGAAATAGCTAACAATACCTGTATAGGTCAGTGGAACTCCCTCCCACTGGAAGCCAGGCTGGACCCATCTTCGCTGTCCTTCTGCAAGCACGTGAAGACTTTTCTCTTCACACAAGCTTTTCCTCAGTGACTGGCTGCCTAAGGGGGTTTTTTAATGGATGGTTGAACCTTATTGCTCTGAATGTGTTTTTGGTGTTGCTTATGTTTATCCTGGCTAGAGTATCCTTGACAAATGGCCACATAGCCCAGTGGTTTAGGTATCTGGTTGGGGAGCCAGAGGTTGGGAGTTCAATTCCCCTCAGTGCCTCTTTGTCAGGAGCTGGATTCAGTGACCCAGAGGGTCCCTTCCAGCTCTGCAGTTTGTCAGGGACTGGACTCAGTTCTAAGTTTAATATTATTAACCCCCATTCAAAACCTTCCATGAAAAACCCAGACTCCTCCACCTTCCATGATGCCCCCTCGTTCAAAACCTTCCATGAAAAACCCAGACTCCTCCACCTTCCATGATGCTCCATTTCATTCTTGAACTGCCTTAACTCTTCTTCCCAACATTCAGTCAAGAGCTTTCCTCTTACTCCACTTACTACATGACAGCTATGGTAAAAACAATGTAGGTGAGATGAAAAGGTGTTCTTCCTCCCCCCTTTTTCTTTTTTTAAATTGTGTTTTGTTTTCTGAAGGATATGTAGCCCAGGGGATAAAGCAGACAGGCAAATGTGGAGCAAGTATAGCCGTAAAGAAATGAGGGAGGGAGGGAGAAAGGGAGAGAGCCATAGAAAAAAGAAACAGGAGCACCGATTGGTATTTCTTCCCATTGCATTTTGACTTTTTCAATCGAGAGAAAGTTCTTATATTTCATGGAAAGAAAGAAAAAAAGAATTGCTGTGGGGAAAGACAGAGTCATTCTGTTGTAAGCTCTATGTGGCAATTCTTCATCAACCTTCTTTATTATAGAGTCAACCTGAAATCTCTCCCCTGAAAAAGATTATTGTTATTATCATCAACAACAACTATTATTTAATATGGTTTTATCTCACCCCCTTAGCACTGCTCTAAAGCTGACCCACTATAAACTTTTAAAAAGAAAAGTACAATTTTGAAATGGGTTGAGTACCCGGCTGTCCGTGAGCTCTATAGACAGTGCTGTTCCTTTCTGGGCTTGGCGAATCCTTTCTGAAGTAGGAAATGAAATCACGAAAAAGAAATCTTCTCTTTTTTTGCATGTTCATTACATCCCATTCTACAGCCGTCTAATACCTGCCACCTCCTTTTCCTGTCTTCCAGGGTACCTCACATCCACAGTGTGTGACTTGGGAGTACACCAAAGTGTGAGTACTTTTTCTCGTGTTCATTGTGTGGATTGTGGGAAAGCATGCACGGGTACAATGGGCATAGGCCTGTGGCCAAGGGATTAGAAGAGGCGGAAGATCTCTCACGGATGGTTCATGTATTGAACGAGAGGCATCTCACTCCCAGATTCTGAGCTCTCTCTCCCTACCAAGTCATGAGATGCTAATGCAGTGTCAAATTCAGTAGTCTTTGTTTTTTTTTTTTTTTTTAAGATCTTAATAATAATCATGTGTCAGCAAGTCAGTTCTGACTTATGGCAACCCTTTTTCAGTTTTTTGAGGTAGAGAATACTCAAAAGTGGTTTCCTGTTCCCTTCTTCAGGGGGTGCCCTGCGGTTGTGCAGCTGGCCCAAGGCCCCACAGGCTGGCTACACTCACAGGACACCCAGTGGGGAATTGAACTCTCCACCTCTGAATCCACAGTCAGAGACCTAAACCAATGAGCCAGCCATTGGTTTAGGTCTTTTAAAAGAATAAAACAGATAAAATCATAGGTCACTTGAATGAATGAATGAATGAATGAATGAATGAATGAATGAATGAATGAATGAATGAATGAAATCATATAAACCAGTCTCACCATAAAACCCATGAAAATCAATTAAAGACCTTGAAGGCCATTAAAATTAGCAAACCCATATTATGTCTAAAATTATGTCTTTTTATTCTCTTCGTAACATCAGCCAGAGTGCAACCTGATCATAAAGAGGATGGGAATGCTTTACCTGGCTTAGAAGGCTAGGAGCTTTCTCTGCTCTTGCTTGGCCAATATTACCTGGGGGAGCTGTCCGCTCCTTTGGTGCTGAAATCCCTGCCTTTCAGTTCGAATGTATGATAGGCACACATCTCATTATCCCTTAAAGAAAAGAAGCCAACAATAGCTCTCCTGACTCCCTCGCTGTACCAGGGACGAGAGGCACCCTTAATGAGGCCAACCCCCACCCCACCTCCCACAGCGGGTTAACTTGGTTAATGACAGCTATTGATTCACAGGCGCTTAGAAATTGTGCCTGCCAGCCTGCCAGATGTAATTCATTATCAGCTGGCCGGGAGGGAGGGCAGCAGCACGGGATAAAATAGGACACATCCTTTATGGAGCAGATACAGAAGGGAACTCTGGCCTTCCTTTCCCAGTTTGTAGTCCGGCGCCCAGCCTGGTTTCAAAACCTCCGGCAGCAACCCTGACAAGCCGAGGTGCTGATTGTGGCTCTTTTTCAAGGACTGGGACAGGTGATGGGTTTTTCAAGGATTGGGGTCCCTGTACTCTCTCCCCAAAGCCTTATTCAAGACCTCCACCCAAAAGAGAGATGCGATGAAAATGTCATTTCCTGCTTTTGGAGGTTTTCGGGAGCAGGGATTTTGTCCATAAAGGAAAGCAGAGTGTGGTGCTTATAGATTGTGCCATAGCGCTAAAGCGTTCTATGGGTGGGTTACAATTTAAGTATACAGGCTACGCATTGCCGTCCCCACCCCCCACCCCTGGGCAGGTGCACAATTTACTGATGCATGGAAGATTGACTCTGAGCCTGGGACTGAACTCATGTCATGAACAGAGCCTTCATGGCAGTACTGCAGTTTAATCACTGTTCCGTGGATCTCCTTTATGATGTGCAGGGATCCCCACCACAAAAACACCAGAAAGTCCTAGAGGCTGAGTGTCCCTCCTCCTCCTCTTTCTCTGGCGTACTCCATGGTGAGGAACTATCCTGCCTTCTCACAATATACCCAAAGTAGGACAGTCTCAGTTTCAGCATTTTTGCCTCCAGAGAGGTTTGATTTGATCCAGGACCCAACTTGTCTGTCTTTCTGGCTGTCCAGGGCATCCACAACGCTCTCCTCCAGCACCACATTCCAAATGACAGGAAACAAACCCCAGCATTATCATCCTGGAGGAGATGCCGAGAACCCTTCAACTCTAATTTTATTTACGTATACCCCACTTTTCTGTTATCAAGTGGCACTTCACGGAGCAAAGAGTGGGTAAAATCAGGCTGAAAAACAAATACAATTAAAACATTCAAGCGGGGGAGATTAAAAGCGCCATTAAGAGTGTAGGAATAAAAATGCATGTGGCCCAAAACATCAACCTGAGCCAGAGAAGAATTAAGGGACTCACAAGATGAATTTCTCTCTGTTTTTCAAAGACTAGTATTATCAGCCCTTGTGGCTTGTTTTCAGGCTAGGATGAGCTGAACTGTCAAGCTTGATCTTGTCTTGGTCCTTGTTTTCATATGTACTGGAAAGCGCTTTCCATCTTGGTTACATTAAAGCCTTCTCATATCCCTATAAAATAATTTCTCTACATATTTGTGGTTGAGTTTTCAAATGTACCCAATCATTTACCAGCCTGCCCTCTGATTAAGCATGTTAGTCCACATTTCAGAAAAGCACGGCCTTCCTCCATCTTTCAAATGTTGCTGGATTCATTTATTGTTTTTCTTTTGCTCGTCAAATGTGTGACACCTTTGGAAATATGTGGATTTCTGCCTAGGTATTCCTCTAGAGGCCAATTCCATGCATGGCCTTGTTCAACCAGATCTAAGGATATTGACTAAGACACAAATTGCACATGTGAAACAAACAAACAAACAAAAATCTTTATTAAATACAAAGGTGACAAATACATGCAGGAAGCAGACCCATCAAAATGTTGAAGTAGACAAGCAAAAATGTTGCATAGATTGTGTGGCTCCCAAAATACAACTCAGCAAAAAGTTTGGGGGAAACATTAACAGAAGCCTCATTCCTAGAAGAAAACTGAGGCAGAGCTAACCCTCATGGAACTATATAAATTTAACTGCCTAACACGGGCTTCTCAGAATCATAGAATAATGAAGTTGAAAGGGTCCTATAAGGCCAACTCCCTGCTCAAGGCAGGAATCCAAATCAAAGCTGATCTGCCACATGGATGTCCAATTTTCTCTTGAAGGCCTCCAGCATTGGAGAGCTCACCACCTTCTGAAGTCATGGGTTCCATTGCCGTACTGCTCGAACAGTTCAGAGTTTTTTTTTCCTGATATTCAGCTGAAATCTCACTTCCTGTCGCTTGAGCCCATGATGACATGTCCTGCGCTCTGGGAGGATCGAGGACAGATCCTGCCCCTCCTCTGTAAGAGTACCTTTCAAGTTTTGGAAAAGTGCTCTCTTATCTCCCCTCTGTCTTCTTTTCTCGACGATGGTGTGGGGGAGGGGACTTGCTAACAGAAAACACCTCCCTGCAGTGAGCCCATGGCAAAGAAGCCAGCTTCTCAAAAGAGATGTAAATCGTTACCCTAGGGTTTAGTCAGACTACTACAAGGGTACCGAGACGGATTGCTATAATGGGAATGATCCCCCTTAAGTTGATTCTTCCATCTGTTGGCCTCCAAAATGGTCCATCTTGGGGCCTGGTTCAAGGTCTTGCCATACCCCCATCTCATGGGATCCCCGAGAAACAGATCACACCAGACCACTCCACAAGGGGACCAAATTGGGATCTATTCCCCAGTCGGATCACACCCTTCGTCTGGTCCCGCTAATGAAAAGTTGCAAAACTTTTCCCCCTGCTGGGTGAAGTTATGAAAGTTCCTATGAATTTATCATCTATCGAAACAAAGGTCACCTTTTTTGCACACAAAATAATGCCCCTTCCCATCACTTTTTGAATGCAATATGCAACTCTTTTTTTGCTAATGCTTCTGCTGATTGAAAAAAAAATAAACACAGTGCTGGTCATTTTAACTTATGAGCATAAGTGAAAAATCTAGCAGTGGCTGAGCTGTTTTTCAGCGGGCCTCATTCCATCAAGCTGCTGTCTTGCACCATAGACAAGGAAATTTGCAGGTGTTTGCCTCATCCTTAATTTACGGGGGTATGTCATAAATTCTCCTATCATAGTGAAGAGGATAATGGAGAGGAGTAAAACAGCTGAAGTTCACTGTAGCTGAAACCCATTCCGATTACGAGCTAAGCATGCCGACTTCCTTCTGCAGCCGTGGACTTCTCTCATGTGTGTAGCATGGATTCTGTGAACAGTCGCTGTTCAGAATTGATTCCCATAAAGACCTCAAACCATTTTAATGCCCAGCAGGTAGAAATCTGATAACTCCATTTCCAAAAAAAAGCTTGGCACAGCAAATTTCTTAGCCGTTCCTATTCCAGGACTAAATTTAGTATGATTTGATGACATCTGGTCTATGTGACTCAGAAGGGCAGCCATGAAGGAGCTAGAAAAGATCCTCAAGTGTAAGGATGTATCCCTGGAGACAAAGACCAAGATCATCCATGTATGGGTGTGAAAGCTGGACAGTAAAGAAAACTGACAGGGGAAAAAATGGTTCATGTGAAATATGGTGCTGGAAGGAAAGCTTTGTGGATTCCTAGAACTGCCAGAAAGATGAACAAGGGGCTCCTAAATCAAATCATATCCTAGATATCTCTCTAGAGTCAAAAATGTTGAAACTGAGGCTGTTCTGCTTCGGGTACATCATGAGAAGGCAAGTTTCCCTGGAAAAGGGAATAATATTTGGAAAGGTAGAAAGCAACAGGAAAAGAGGAAGATGTAAAATGAGATGGACCGACTCCCTAAATGAAACCATGGGCTTCGGTCTACAAGAGCTGAGCGGGGCAGCTGAGAACGTTTGGAGAACACTCGTTCCTAGTGTTGCCAGAAATAGAAGGTGGCTTGACGGCTCATCACAACAATGGATACCTTACCTAGCAAAACCCCACCAGATGTTGGGCTGCGAGAAGTCAACATGTCATGCACTTGACTGAGTGGCTCCTGCTTAAAGAAGTTGGCGAAGGAGTGTGAGATCCAGCCTAGGTCACCACGGTCTGGCCCTGAGATGGATCCCTGCCAGGTGTCTTCCGGAGAGCTATTTCTTCTTTCTCTCCTTTTATTTGCTACCTCGACCCCCTTCTTACTTGCTGTTGCTAACAAAAAGAGCAAGCATCTCTTCAGGAAGGGATCAGATCGACACCCTCTCTTTCTCCTGCTGCATGAAGCCACAAATCATTCACTGGGCAGTTTTCTTCACCTTTTATTTTTATTTTATATTTGAATTTTTTTGCCTAAAGGAGCTCTTGCGTTCATCTCTGCTGTGCAGTTAGATTAGAGAGGTCTTAGTCTCTTTCAGCAAAGCTCTGTCAGCCTGATTGTGAGTTTCAAAGCGATCGGTGAGGCATTCTCCTGACACCCGTCTTATCTTCCGCAAATGATAGATTTGTTCCTGCGACAGGTAACCCTTTAGAAGCCCTTTGATCTGGGCCTGGGTTGCTTATGATGCAAAATGAGTAAGCACTTTGACTTGCTTTGAAGCGTGGTCTCCCTTCCTATCAAAGGGATTTCCACACTCTGGACTGATCTGCATGCCATAGAATCATAGAATAATAAAGTTGGAAGGGGTCCTCTAAAGTCATCCAGTCCAACCCACTGCTCAAGGCACGAATCCAGATCAAAGTACAGTGGTGCCCCGCATAGCAACGATAATCCATTCCAAAAAAATCATCGCTATACGGATTTGTCGCTATGCGGGGCAAAAAAGCCCATAGGAACTCATTAAAACACGTTTAATGCATTCCTATGGGGGAAAAACTCACCGTTCTGTAAAAATCCTCCATGCGGCCACCATTTTTGCTGCCCGGTAAGCGAGGAAAGGGCGCGAAAACACTGCAGGCGGCAATTTTATTTACCCGGCGGCCATTTTGGAACCGCCAATCAGCTGTTCTAAAAAGATTGCTATGGGATAATCGGTAAGCGAAACAGCTTACTGATCATCGCAAAGCGATTTTTTACTATTTAAAACATCGTTATGCGATCACAAAAAACCAACACATCACTATGCTGATTCGTTGTTAAACGAATCGCTCGTTATGCGGGGCACCACTGTAGATCTGACAGAGGGTGGCCCATTTTCTCTTGAATGCCTCCAGTATCGGAGCACTCACCACTGCCTGAGGCCATTGTTGTACTGCTCTAACAGTTAAGAAGTTTTCCCTGATATGGAGCCTAAATCTGGCTTCTCGGTCTTCTTCTGATTTCTCAGAAGAGGAGCAATGAAGCAATTAGAAAAGTGGTCAAGTATAAGGATGTGTGCGACTGGAGTCCAAGACCAAAATAATCCACACACTCATGTTCCTGATCATCATGTATGGGTGTGAAAGATGGGCAGTTAAGAAAGCTGGCCAGATTTTGAGAGAACAGGTTCAAATTCCAACTAAGTCACAACACTTTCTGTCTCTCTGATCCACCTCGCAGGGTTGTGAGGACAAAGCAAGCGGGAGAATGCCAGGCATACTCTGCCTCAAACTGAAAAGGAGAAAAGCTAAATTCTGAATGCGGCAGGCCCTGCAAACAGCTAGGAGCACAGGAGGCTGTAAATTACATTTCTATTTCCGTGTTATCATCTCCAAGTCCTTCTAGAGCCCCCTCGGCTGGTCATTTTGGTTGAATCAGAAATGTACGATTGAAACAGCATCCTGCTCTACTTCAAGAGTGAGATCTCTCCTTCCCTCCAACCCCTTCAATGCCCAGAATTCAATTTTGCAGAAGATCTCAGGGGCCGTATGCCAGTATTGGGCAAGCTAGAGAATAAGAGGATCAGTATATTATAGGTTGTTGTTGTTGTGGGTTTTTTGGGCTTCTTGGCCGTGTTCTGAAGGTGGTTCTTCCTAACGTTTCGCCAGTCTCTGTGGCCGGCATCTTCGGAGGACAGCAAACTGTGCTCTGGGTAAGGCTTGAGAGTGGAGTATTTATGGCTGTGAGAAGGTTTGTTTGTGAGAAGGCTATTGTCCTATCAGGAGATGGTTAATTAGTATGTTTTGTTGTGGCTGTATTGTTTTGATAAGGAGGGGAGATTATCTGTCCCTGCGGTTGATGGGTGTCATTAGCTGGTGTTTTGTGTGTAGTAATCCCTTGACCTTGTGGCTGGGTGGAGTTCGTTGACCTTTTGCACTGGGGCCGTATTATTGGGCAAGCTAGAGAATAAGAGGATCTCACCAGCAAAACCAGTATATTATAGATTAGACGGTTTATTGCCTGCCACTAAGACATAATAATAAAATAATCATGTTCTGTCAAGTTGATTCTGACATATGGCAACCCTTTTCCAGGGCTTTCCAGGTAGAGAATCCTCAGTAGTGGTGTCTCATTCCCTTGCTCTCCTTTGCTATAAAGGAAAATCATGCCCCCTGGTCTCTCCCAGGGCTAGGATTCTCCATAAAACCTTTTTTTTTGGGGGGGGAGGAGGGGGAACGGTGGTGAATAGAGCCTGGGATAACTAGAAGACACAGAACACAGAAAGGGGAGGGGGAGATAGGATAGCACTTTTCAAATCCACGAACGGTAGTCATGCAGAGGAAGGGCACAATCTGTTCTCAGTTGTCCGAGGTTGGGCTCAAGCTACAGGAAGGCAGATTCAGGCTGAATATCAAGAGAGAGAAAAACTTCTTAACTGTTAGAGCAGTACGATGATGGAACCAGTCAACTTTGGGAGGTGGTGGAGGCCTTCAAGAGAAAATTGGACAACCCATCTGTCGGGTCTGCTTTGACTTGACCAAGGGGGTTGGCTTCAATGGCCTTATAGACCTCATGATTCTATGATGCTAGCAAGACCTGGGCTGACATCTGATCTACAGGCCATATAGTTCCCATTCTTGACGTACAACCAAGTTCCACCTTTGGACAGTGAGGGACATCTTTACATTTCAAGCTGTGGCTTCCAGATGTTGTGGCCAGTCCCAGCCCCCAGTTCACAGCAGGTAAAGCGATGGCCTTGCTCACCCCTCGACACAATGGGTCCCAACTTTGGCAGTTCTAGATGCAGTTCTGCTCTTCTTCAGAATACTTTGTTCTATTTTTCTCGGTCCTCCTCCGGAGCTCTTATTTTTCCTAACACTCAATATTCCATGCCTACAGAACACATATAGTTCTTTCTCTTTTTGTACCCCCCTCTGTCTCTTGAGATGTTTTGTACTTTTAAAAACCTCAGCTTCTTCCAACCATGCAAAATACCTCCCACTCATTTCTCAGCGGACCCATTTTGACTCCATTTCCATCAGCACTCACCCCTGACAAGCACAGGAGTGATGTAACGTATAGCTATTTTATCCGTCTCCATCTCTCCTTCCCAAACACCCGTCCTGTTCTGGGGCCCAGGAAGTAATCATCGTCAGAGGGAGGCTACAGCTCACTAATTAGAACCAGATGCATTAGGTGTTTGGACTACAACTCCCAGAATCCCCAAGTGCTGGGGGATTGTGGGAATTGTAATCCCCAAAGGTAATACTTCTAAATTCTGAGCAAGACTCAGGGTGGTGTCCCCATGTGGACTAGTTACCTCAGAGCATGGAACTATTCTTCCCCCAACCACATCCAGGCTTGAATTCCTCAGCCAGCAAAATACACAAAACTGAGTGGGGAGAATTATAAATTACACAAAATGTGGACCACATTTGCTTTTAAGAGATGTTTGTACAAATTCCAGAGGCCTTGAGGAGGGGGGGGAAAGTCCATCTCCTGCACTTTTCTGGTGATGGGAAATCTCTTAGGGCATGAAAATGCCTCAGGGAGGTGTCTGGTCAAGTTGATCTAGCCTAAATCGATAAGAACATTTTTTTTAAAAAAAAGTGAGTATTCCTTAATAAAAATAAATATAATAACCATGTGCCATCCAGTTAATTCTGAGTTATGGTGACACTTTTTCAGGGTTTTCCAGGTTGAGCCCCACCAGGTTTCCCCCTTTTCTTCCTCTGGAGGCATCTTGGAAACTGTGCAGCTGTCCCAAGGCTACCCAGGCTGGCTCTTCTCCCAAGAAGCACAGCGGGGGAATCAAACTCCCAACCTCTGGCTCTGCATCCAGATTCCTAAACCACTAAGTTACCCAGCCTTACATGGAGATAAAATAGCTCTTTGTCATTATTTTTCACTGTAGTTTCGCCATAACCTCTATTACCGTCAGGAACTCTGTTGAACTGGGAAGCGCTGTTTCTGTGTGTAAGGCCTCCACCAAGCCCACGGTGCAGGATCATCGTTTGCTGAGGGTAGCTTTTTTTTACTACCATGAAGACTAGCCAAACACGAGCAGCACCGAAGCACTCCGACGAGCCCCAGTTGGTTGCAGAACAAGCTTGTTTGAAACCCTGGAGGCTTGGCCTTCTACAGTACCCTTCTCTATCTGCCCCCACCACCCGAAACCCCTTTCGGCATCAACCTTCAGATCTGATCGATGCTTGATGCCTCTCCACCACCCCCCAACCTGCCAGATCCTGCT